CTTGCCTCAGCCTCCTGAGTAGCTGGGACTACAGGTGCCTGCCACAATGCCCAGCTATTTTTTTATTTTTATTTTTGTTGCAGTTTGGCCAGGGCTGGGTTTGAATCTGCCACCCTTGGTATATGAGGCAGGTGCCCTATTCACTGAGCCAGAGGTGCCGCCCAAGCCTTTAAGTTTTGTTGTCATTTGTTTTGAAGGAGCAGATAACTTATGTAAATATCTTTTTTTTTTTTGAGCCAGAGTCTCACTTTGTTGCCTTTAGTAGAGTACTGTGGCATCATAGCTCACAGCAACCTCAAACTCTTGGGCACAAGTAATCCTCTTGCCTCAGCCTCTCAAGTAACTGCGACTACAGGGCTGGCTATTTTTAGAGAGACTCTCTGTAGCTCAGTCTAGTATCAATCTCCTGAGCTTAGGCAATCCACCTGCCATAGCCTCCCAGAGTGCTAGGATTATAGGCATGAGCCACTGCACCTGGCCTTAATACAAATATCTTTAAGGTGTCCCCAATAATTTTTGACCTTTGGGTCAGTATTATTAGCTCCATCTGTGAAATAGTGATAATAATGGTACCTCACTCACAGAGTTGTTCATTAGGCTATGCAATGCTCAAAACAGTGCCTAGAACAGAGTGAGAATTTGATAGATGTTGTAGTTGACTTAGAGGATAGATCTAGGAGGCTGAACATGCAAATAGAAGGAGTCATAGAGGATAACTAAGGAAAATAGCAATGGATGGAGAAATAATAATTAAAACAAATAAAAAATGCAGCTATGTTTAGTTGATTATGGGCTTTTTTATCATTGAAAAGCCCATGCAAATTCTGGTCCTCAGGCCTACATGTGAAAAACACATATGAATATAAACAATTGAAAGAAAAGGAAAAGAGAGATTAGAGATGAAAACTTCTCGGGGTGGGGCGAGGGGAAGTGAGTCTCCAGATTGAAAGGGATGAAATAAATCTGGGCATGTGTAAACAAAAAAAAAAAAAAAAAAAAAGGAAAGAAAGACTTCTATTGACAGTGCTCAACTTCATGGATAAAGAGAAAACTTCATAAACTTCTCTTATAAACAGAGAACACATTACCTATAAAGGAAAAAAATTGGATATTTTATTTACAACAATAAATGACAAAAGAGTTGAATAGTGTCTGTAGACTTTTGAGGGAAAGAGGCTGTGTGATTTAATAATCCCCAAATCAGGCCAGATGAGGTGGCTCATGCCTGTAATCCCTATGAGGCCGAGGTGGGTAGATTGCCTTAGCTCACAGGTTCTAGACCAGCCTGAGGAAGAGTGAGACCTTGTCTCTAAAAATAGCCTGCTGTTGTGACAGGCACCTGTAGTCGCAGCTACTTGAGAGGTGAGGCAAGAGAATCGCTTGAGCCCAAGAGTTTGAAGTTGCTGTGAAATGTGATACCAGGGGCACTCTACCAAGGGCCACAAGTGAGACTCTGTCTCAAAAAAAAAAAAAAAAAAAAAGCAGGTG